TGCAGATGTCCCTGCTCCCTGCAGGGGGTTGGACTAGAGCTTGAAAGGTCCCTTCCCACCCAAACCAGCCTGGGATTCTGTCATCCTCTGATTCTGCCACAGGACACGTCTCCCTGCTCTCTGCTTTCCAGGGACGCCCTGGTCACCAGCACAGTGAACTGCCTCACCAGCTTCCTCTCAGGCTTTGTCATCTTCACCGTGCTGGGCTACATGGCTGAGATGAGGGACGTGGAGGTGGAGGATGTTGCCAGAGATAAAGGTTTGTTTCCCTCCACCATGACTGGCCCCCTGGCACCGGGGGCACCCCGGGCTCGGCGTGCCTGTCATGGTGGGGGGACAGGGTGGTGGCCAGCCCTGGGCTCTGCTGGGGTGCAGGGGTTTGTCCCTGCAGTGGACGGCTCCTCTGGCCTTGGGGCATCTTCCCAACCCACATCCCCACTGCCGTGGGCACCCAGGGCTGTGCCAGAGCAGCACAAACCAAACCAGCATCTCCTCCTAGGGCCGAGCCTCCTTTTTATCACCTACCCCGAGGCGATCGCCAACATGGTGGGATCCACCTTCTTCGCCATCCTCTTCTTCCTCATGATGGTCACACTGGGGCTGGACAGCACGGTAGGAGCTCCAGCAGGCAGCCCCGGGGGCCTGGGAGCAGCCCCGGGGGGCAGCGGGGTGACAGGGGGAGCTGGGATCCCCTCCTAGGGCCGAGCCTCCTTTTTATCACCTACCCCGAGGCGATCGCCAACATGGTGGGATCCACCTTCTTCGCCATCCTCTTCTTCCTCATGATGGTCACACTGGGGCTGGACAGCACGGTAGGAGCTCCAGCAGGCAGCCCCGGGGGCCTGGGAGCAGCCCCGGGGGGCAGCGGGGTGACAGGGGGAGCTGGGGCTCAGATGGGGGGCTGCCTGCTTGAGCCCCCCAAGCGTGGGGATGGGGACAGCGCCATCATCTCCAGTGGATCTGAGCTGGCATCCCCAGAGCCTGATGGGTGGAGAGGGGACAGGAGGGGATGTCCCCACTCTGCTCACGGGCAGAGGGGGCTTGTGGGGAGCAGGTTTCTCTGGGAGTGGGGCTGTTCCCTCGTCTCATTCCTCCACCCCACGCCGACATCTCCTGTGCAGTTTGGGGGTCTGGAGGCCGTGATCACGGCCGTGATGGACGAGTACCCCCAGGTCCTGGCAGGGCGACGGGAGCTCTTTGTCCTCGGC